GCTGGAGTACATGGAACAGGAAGGTCTTCGAGATGACGATGTTGTTGTGGTATTTGATGGTGGTGACACTGTTTTCACTGGGGCCAGTAGGGTTCAGCAGGCAGTGGATTATTTCATGGCGAAAACGGCACCCACCGCCGCTAAATTTGATGCCACTGCTGTACAGAACGGAAAGGCAGTAGCACCACTACTCTTTGCAGCGCATCATATGTGTTTCACACCTCAGTTGGAACTTGTTGTCACAGAGGGGCCAGGGGATTTCGTGAAAAAATGCCAGTGGTTTTACAAGAGTATGTTTGATGTTGCAGAGTCTATTCCTGGTCAGCGCATGGTACGATCAAAGGGATTGCAGATATATCTTAATGCAGGGGGTTATGTGGGGCGTGTGTGGGCTCTGCGAACTGCTTTTGCTGCGTATGCGGGTGTGGCAGCAATGCACCGTAACTGGACATGCGACCAAAGCATCTGGGCGCCCCTGCAAGTCTGGAGTATACTTCAAAAACCTGAAGTGCCAAGCCATTTGCGTTTACCCTATGGTATTATGAGTCTTGACTACAATCATCAGTTTTTTTACAATGCGAGAAAAAAACATCCTGCATTCTCTGCAATTCTTCATTTCCCTGGTAGAATTCTGGCGGAGCGACGCTTTTTACCCAGATATATTAGGAGCACAACATGGTTTCATGAGTTACAGCAAGACGCACGTTTACTGGAGGAGACGAGGCGTCTTTTGCGTGATGCAAAGCTTGTGAAGGTGCGCGGAGCCGATGGGCTTACGCATACACACCATTATGGAAGAGTGTGTTCTGTCGAAGACGCTCTCAATACCACATGGCTGATGAGTCCCTTGGAAAAGTAATGGTTTTTTTTTTCTTTTGCGTTGTGATGTGTGACTTGCACAGCACACATATTTTCTGGTTTTTGGTGAAACATTGATTTCTGACATGGGAGCGCTTTACTGGTTATGACTGAAATGAATTGCCCACTAGGACGTCTGGACGAGTGTTTGGATGATGCAGGATGCAAGCCTGTTTTTCTTCTTCTTCTTCTCGTCATGCCTTTCTTTTGAAAAGGTGGTGGTAGTGCGTGCATGAACTGTTAAGAGCAGGAAGTGTCGACCATGTAGTGTTGATGCCGAGCAGGATTCCTTGGGGCGGCATACGAGAGATGGTTATTTTGCTGGGTATACTGACCTCTCAGTCTATGTCAATTGTGCACTGTACTGCGACTCTCTGTAGCTTCGGTGCGTGGAATCCAATGTGACTACCAGTGTACTCTCGTGCTGTGTGGTTAATGGACCTCGCACGTGGGTTTGCCTGAAAACTGTAGTGTTACCGAGTGTGTGTTGGGTGCTACAACATTTTTCTCTGGCTCCCTACACGGTGGTATCCTTTGGAGAAAGCACAGCAACACCTAAGTTATGCATGCATGGTGAGAGAGAGTGTTGCTGCGCGATCTTGAGGTTTTTGGAATTCGCCCTTGATGATAGCTAGGAATGAGCAGGTGTGGTTGTTGGGCGGCGCATTGGGTGATGGCAGAGCTGCTGCTGCTGCTGCTGCTTTGGTGCGCCTCCTGTGGCTTTGGGAAATGACCGGTGTCTTTCTATGGATCGCCTTGCGTGGCGCTACCCTGGCAAGACACGCGGTGATGCCTTTTTAGGTGATTCGATTCTCTACGTTTTGTGTTACTCCGGTGGTGCGTGCGCACTGTGAGCTGCGAGCCGGTCTGGAATTTGGGCTGAGGCGTTGATGTGTTGATGTGTTGCTGGAATGAATCTACCTCATTACCGGTGTGACTTTGCTTTGTTTTGCCTCCTCATGTTGCTCTCACTCCATTTTTTTTTTTTAACTCTTTGCTTGGATTTGTTGGATGTTTCGTGCGTTTTCCTGTTGGTGATGTCTTCAGTTTTTCATTGTGTATTTTGGTCGTTTGTTCTTTCCATTGGGTATGATTGTGTGCATCGTTCTCTTTTATCACCCTCTTTCTTTGGTTTCTGACTCTTCATTTTTTCTCTCTCCCAGAGACACATGCGCTGCAGCGTGAAGGATCTGTGCCGGTGCCGAGGTGCGTATCCGGTGTTTTGGTTGATGGTTGTTGCCTCTCTCTTGTTGTGCTTGATGTTTACCTTAAGTGTATCAGAAGATGGAGTTTTTGTTAACCGCGTCTCAAGCATGAACGTCACAAATCCAGCCGAACCAGTTCGGCAAGGCAGCACACCAAGGGTTGTCTTTCTCGTTGTCCAGACGAAATTTTCACCTGGGTGGTGCCGAATGCAGCTGAGCTCTATCATGTCCAATGTATCTGTGGTCACTATTGGCGTCGGAATGAACTACACACATACGAAACGCCATCAGTGGGTGCTGGAGTACATGGAACAGGAAGGTCTTCGAGATGACGATGTTGTTGTGGTATTTGATGGTGGTGACACTGTTTTCACTGGGGCCAGTAGGGTTCAGCAGGCAGTGGATTATTTCATGGCGAAAACGGCACCCACCGCCGCTAAATTTAATGCCACTGCTGTACAGAACGGAAAGGCAGTAGCACCACTACTCTTTGCAACGCATCCGCTGTGTTTCACACCTCAGTTGGAACTTGTTGTCACAGAGGGACCGAGGGATTATATAGAAAAATGCCACTGGTTTTACAAGAGTATGTTTGATGTTGCAGAGTCTATTCCTGGTCAACGCATGGTGCAGACAAGAGGAACGTATCTTTACCTCAATGCAGGGGGTTATGTGGGGCGTATATGGGCTCTGCGAACTGCTTTTGCTGCGTATGCGGGTGTGGCAGCAATGCACCGTAACTGGACATGCGACCAAAGCATCTGGGCACCTCTGCACGTCTGGAGTATACTTCAAAAACCTGAAGTGCCAAGCCATTTGCGTTTACCCTATGGTATTATGAGTCTTGATTACAATAGCACTTTTTTCTTTAACCCATACAAAGGCAGAGGAATGCCTGTCGTTCCTGCCATGTTTCATTTTCCTGGAGGTACGAAATTTTATCGAAATTCTCTACCCATGTTTGTAAGAAGCACTGCATGGTTTCACGAGTTACAGCAAGACCCACGTTTACTGGAGGAGACGAAGCGTCTTTTGCGTGATGCAAAGCTTGTGAAGGTGCGCGGAGCCGATGGGTTTACGTATACACACCATTATGGAAGAGTGTGTTCTGTCGAAGACGCTCTGAGTGCCACATGGCTGATGAGTCCCTTGGAAAAGTAATAGTTTTTTTTTTGCTTTTGCGTTGTGATGTTTTTAGTTTCATTTTGGGAGTTTTTTTTTCTTGTGGAAGATCGTTTACTTTAACAGTAACGCAGTAGCTTCATTATGGACCAAAATGTGTAGTCGATAATCATTTTTGCATAGCTTTTTGAGTGATTTAGAATATCATTTAATTCTATTATTCTTCTTGTGTGGGAGGATATCAATGCCCACATTATTTACTTTAACGGTTTGTGTTATTGCAGTGTTGACTGTTTATCGTTGTTGGTGAAAGTGGTTCTTCAAGAGGGATAATTATGAGTTTTTTTTTCTTTTTATGGTGGTGATGTTCTTAGTTTTCCATTTGTAGAGGTTGATGGACTGGTGTGCTTTGGATTGCGCAGAAACGGTAAAGGTATGCTGATGTGACTGTAGCAAGACTCCCAAACTGCGTGTTTTGTGAATCTTTGATTGATTTTTTAATAGATGGATGTAACGAATTATGTCTGAGAGATTTGAAGTTAGGCACACAAACACATCTAATCCCTGTCCCTGGGATCAGATGGTCAAAAGAGAGCAGTGTAGTTTAAGTTCCACAGACCAATGGATAATGAAAAAAGCACGTGGCTTATACTGCAAATTACCAATTCTCTTTTCTTTACGAATCTTGGGGTGGTTTCTTGCTATTTTCTGTCTTTTTGTTTTCATCATCTTGTTGTTCCTAACAGAGGGCCCTTTCTCTCGTTCTGTGGAGGATGAGAGCGTTGTTTCACCAGTGGAGCACGGAAGAATCACAGTAGGATCATATTGCTTTACACGGCATGATGCTTTGCGGTCGGGAGCAGAGGTGCATACACCACCTTGTTTTCCCTTGGATGTGAACTACAGCAACTACAGCGGATTACCTCCAAACTATCATTTCTTTTCGCTCTTGGATGGTGTTATTACTCTGGAGCAACGTCGTGTGGGTATCTACGCGACCTTCGACACATCCAGGATTCCGCCTGCACCAATCGAAGTAAAGCGTCGTCACTCACATTACGCTAAGCTTCTACATTCTCCATCGAATAGAAGGGCACAACTGCGGGTTGTGGTGCAGCTTTCCGGTCATCTGCGCACTTTTCAAAAGTGTGCACCGTCGTTGAAAGGAAATATTCTAACCATGAACGAAGCAGAGTTGTTTATCGCGACGTATCCCAACTTGGGCCATAGACGCCGAGGGTTGACTGGTATTCTGGAGGAAGACCCACCACTTAGCAGCGCAGAAATGCAGGATGTGATCTACCACTACCGACCTCACCTTGCCGGAATGTTTCTTCTGGATTCAATTTCTATGCGGGAATACATGAAGGTTCTGTTTTCCCGCAAGGTACTTGAAAGTACAATCTGGGCTTGGAACATCCTTCAGTTTTTTACAACTGAGTTGGCACACGATATGAGTATAGCGGAGAGTATGAGAGAAGAGATTTCGCCAGCTGAGCTCGGGGACAACCTGTTTTTTCGCTTTACATGTGACCGCGTACTTTACACAAGAAGTGGTTACAGACGAGTTACCCACGCACCATTTGATATTGTCATTCGCTTGCGTCCCGATCTTTATATTATGGGCCCTCTATGGGTGGAGCCACTTCTCACGGTGGAGCAGCAGCAACAAGCTTTGACTGAGTGGCGACGTGTCAAACCGAGTAACACAACAGTAGATGACAGTGCTATTGTGAGACAAAGCTTCGCGGTGTACTTCATGTGCGGCAACACTTCCTATTTACCTTTTGTGGTGCCGCCTCGTCACGTTGCTCGCTCGCCTTATCACCCAGAGGTTCCAGCGTGGGTGTCTGACTTTTCTGCTATTGTAAGCATGTACCCTGACGGAAAAAATAATGTCCCAACCACTGTTTTTCGTATGTTCCACAATTTGACACTTTTATCACCTGAGGAACAGGAGAAGAGAATGATGTTTAGGTATAACTCAGCTGAGGGAATGTTGATGAGGTACTTGGAGCATGAGCGGTATAGGTCCTTGCGTTTAATGGGTTGGCACTTTGCTCTTCGAAACAAGGAGGTGTTTTACAATTCTTCTGTACCGGTTGGAAAGAATAAAAAGACAAGATTGTTAAGAAAGGTATTTGAGGTAACGAATGTGAGTGAGGTGCGGTGCCCGTCCCTGGGATAGAATGTGCGTTTTTTTTTGTTTTTTTTTTTGGTGACCCAGTACTAATTGCTTGTGGTTTGTTAGGGTGTTTTTTTTTTTTTTTTTGATTTTATTTTGCTATGAACTACTGTTTCTATATTCTCTGTAGGTGATTTTCTCGTGCTGCCTGCTCAGTTCAAGCGCACTGGATTTACCTTTGGGTTGATCGCTACCAATATTAGACATGAGGTGTACAAAAAGCAATGCCAGTAGGAGCACTTGTTACGGTTAGACTTTCCAAATATGTATTTTATTCATTTTGTTTGTTATTCTTTCCCTCTTACCCCTTAAAAGAAAAAAAAAAATGAAAGAATTCCATCTGTGTGCTCAGATGTAGCTAACATGGTTGCTCAAGGTGTTTTATTATTTTTATTACATGATGGACAATCATAGCTAAGCATTATATTCCGATAAAAAATAATTTCTTGAGTTCTTCAGAAATGGATAAAGCAAACCTCTTCAAGTTAACTAAATGTCATGGATGAGAAGAAGTGTTCCACTCACTTGATATTTTCAAATAAACAAAAACCTAAACGCTGATAAGACAGCAATACTCTCTTTGATGAGAAGGTGAGGGAGGGTGCTCTCCTTTCTCTCCGTTACGGAACTTGAATCGACCAAGGGACACTGTGTGCGACAACCGCACGCCATATCCGTATCTGGGATATGGGTCCCCTTTTCCATTCTCACTTCATTTGCAGATTTGGAGTTTTCGGAATATTCTTCCAACACCTAAGGGAATTGAGGATTGTGTCTAAATACTGAAGTTCTCGCATGCGTGATTATCAT